TAATGAACTAACAAATTATGCAAGGTTTGTATGCATTTTAATAGTTTAGTTCAAATATTTGTTAAACGTATTGTCTAAACCCTTTGCTTGTTTAGTTTAAAACTCTTTTTCGTAATTTTTTTTCTCAATTTGGTCGAAGCTTTGCCTTTATTTATTAATTCTGATTTATTTTCCTGACTGCGAGTACTTGTTATGATAAACATATCTTTCCTGGGTTTCAGTCAAAGTGTGAAGTAAAAATTTTGACACATCGTTTATTTCATTACGTTTCGGCGAGACAACAGTGCCATCATCAGATTTAAAATTTTACACAAACTACCAATACCAATTTACAAATAAAACATGTTGTAGAAAATTTATAATTTACAAAGTGTTAAAACATTCATCAGTTTTTGAGCGAAAAAAATCTTCCTTTTCGGAGAGCAAAACATCGGAAAAACTTACCTCATGATTGGTAAAAATTAACGTCCTTTTAGGTCTTTGCCTTCTTGAAAGCTTGAGTTTGTCTGAATTATTTTCTACATTTGCGAGAGTGGTATGCATATATTGAGAGAAGCAGAAATAGTTTAAATTTTTCACTAGTGTACCGGTTGTTCCATACTTATGGCTTTATTAGGGTTTGGTAAATGTTGTTAAGGTTGTCGGTATCTGATCTGAAATTTACTGCTTTTGCATGTTTTTTTATTTGTATCATTTCTTTCAGATCAGATACTGACAAGCATATTCCCAAAGTTATATAAAAATTTGAATGGAAGGAGTGTCTTGTAAAACCACAAATCAAATGTGCCTTGACTTCTATAATAGCGGTTTTAATTTTTCAATTTGGTTTGAACACAAATCAATATATTTTTTGAAAACTGAACTTCAGTAACGATTATCTTCAAATAACTTATAACATGTTCAAAATGTTGCATGTTTACTTCCTGGCAATAAATTAGTTCCTTGAATCGTGAAATTAATTACTCATGTTTTGGAGTAATTATGGGAGTCAATTGGTGCACACCTACGTATAATATAAATTTTCTGATTGTTCCAATCTTTGGGTTGTATAATTGTATTGTACTTCTAATTTTAAAACAAATAAATTTCTGTCAGATCGAATTTCCATATAGTTTTGATAGATAAACACAACTTACTACTATACTGCGCAGATATATATGTCTTACATGAATATTTAAATCCTTCCAAGGCACGGAGAATCTCTATTAAGAAAATGATCTGTAAACATGCGAAAATGTAGTTTTGCAAGTACCTATAGCATGTTTTCTATTCGAGTTTACATAACAAACTTCCCTTTTTATTGTATTTTAATGGATATTGAATAGAGAATTAGATTTTTGTTTCACAATAACCTTTATAATTTAATGCGAGCGACTTAAATCGCTGTATAAATGATATAGTAAAAGGTCATGCAAACTGTCACAACATCGTTCCTCAATATTAAGTATAGTAATAATCATTTCCAGCGTTTTGAATAGATTTTCCAATGCATTACAATCAATTATTGCTGGGTTGTAAGATGTTCTCTAATCCCCTTTAATATTAATTGAAGCAAATTTATCTGGATTTCAATACTACACATCCAAAGCAGATAACACATTACTTTATAGTAACGTATAATAACAGTAAATATAATTAACAATAACCTTCAGTATCATTTTAAACATTAATTTAATATATTAAAAAGTAAATCAATTATTTTCCTCTGCAGGGGATGTTCGAACTGAAAAGAAATTAATAGGATTTCGATTCCAATCAGTTCAGATTTCATTTCTCCCGTACAATTCATTTTTTATCCACTTTCCGCTCGCCCTAAAATAAATTAAATTCAACACCTACTTCAAATTTCTTGCCGCAGAATTCTTTGTATAGCCATATTCCAATTTGGCATTAAGTCTTTTGCCAGTCTGGATTTAGACTGATATTAAAATAATGTTTTAGTAGTTAGCTGACTCCTTGAATTGCCTTTTTAGCTTAAGTAAAGAATGTTTAAGGTAAATTAATTAGAATATTCTATTCATGTTCATTTATCTGTAGTTTTCGTTTCGATTATAATTTTCATTCTGTTTGTTTCTAGCAACAAATTATTATAGCAGCAGTCAAAATAGGAAAGTAGTAATTTGTTGCACGATATGAAAGTTCGTCGAGTGTACTTAAAAGAACTCTGTTAATATTAATTAGCGGAGATTTACTGGACTAATAACAGCCATTACTCCAACTGAGGCTGAAGAAAAATGAGCATAAAGAGAAATTAGCTGGACTTGATTGACTACGATGACAGAAGATTTTTCTTTGTTTCATAATTATTTAATTTCCCAGATCCACTATGAGCAAATGCAATGTTACCACTGATTTTCTTTACTAGGGAGACAAATTCCAGCCAAATCCTCGGATTATAATTTTAAAAGGATATTTTTAGTACTTTTTTTTTCGAATAGCAAAGTTTCATCAATCAGTCGGGTTGTTTAATAGTTACCATTCTGTGGATCTCTTTGTTGATTTAATTAAAGTGCCCCAATAAACACAAAGCGTTCAATCAAAACAATAAGCCTCAGTCAAGCTTGAATCCCGACCAAATTGAGTTCAAATAAAAATGTAAAGTTCCTTTGATGAATCACTGGAGCAAAACAAGCCACCATCCAAATTCAATTAATATTTGCGTTGAAAATCTGACGATAAAGAGTTAATTAACTTTTATCGTGTCTCTGGATAAAGAATTAATTAACCCAGATTTACCGGCAAGTTCCAGTAATCTCCGTACATGTAATCTATTTCCGTTTATAATGATCGTATCCAATTACTTTTTATTTTTATACATAACCAGAGGTTTTATTGCTAGACTTTTTTTGCTGCATGGAACAATAGATGGAAATGGAAACTCATTGGAGTCAGGAAAATGTTTAATGTGTGGATTACAAGTAAAATACCTTCAAAAAAGCACAAAGCGCACAAGAGATTTTGCTAAGTTGCTTTAAAATTATAGATTTCAGATACGATTGAGTGCAGCAATACGTATTTTGCCTCCAAAATATTAAAATGTTAAGTACATTCAATTGATTCATCTGGTGAATTTTTGCTTCAATTCAGAATTTTAAAGCAAATATATTTTTTTTAAATTAGAATATGTTCGAGTAATCCTGTATCATTTAGATATTAAATTGAAAAACTTATGGTGTTGCCAACGCCAAGCCCAGGAATATATCGCAAAATTCAAATTTAATGTACATTTTAAATAAATATCAAATAAAATAAATATAGCTATAAATTATAATAATTTATAATTCTTAATTCTTCCAACTTCCAAATAACAATTTAGCAATATGTAGGCAATAGTACTTTGTATCACATCTGCAACTTTATATTGTACCCTCATATCTCAAATTTGAAACAGGCTGTATGTTTTTTACACTAAAATAAACACAAATGAAAGTTTGGATTTATTTATTCGGCCATAGTTTCTAAGGAAGACTGTATTGGATTTACAGAGTTTATTCTTATGACGGACTTGTATTGTATGCAATTTTTATTACAACTTCTGTACGTTATGATTTTCCATTACTGTACTTCAAGTGGCAAACACTACTTTGACTCGATCTCCATAAATAAGGTTTTTGTGTTTATGTCCAACGTTATTTTTATATAGTATTATGTTCCTTCCTGTTTTTCAGTCAAAGTGTGAAATAAAAATGTTTTTATCGTTTATTTCATAACGTTTCAGCGAGACAACAGCGCCATCATCAGATTTAAAATTCATACAAATCTTGTAGGCGGTTGCTGCGCAAGTTTTCGGACTGATTCATTATGCTCCATGTTATTTTTATACATATTTTCTGGTTCACTTAAAATGTATGC